AAGGCCGAGGATAAACCACTGTTGTCTCGGCAGGCATACCCCTTAATCGGTCATATATTAATATACACAGGTTTGATTTATTTTTTGCTTTAAGTTGCATGACCTTTCTGCAGAAAATGTTCGTTAATGTCACTCCACATAGGGGTTTAGGAAGACGACTTCGTCTTGTTCATCTGATGCGGACAAACTGTCCTCCTCCTCCTGTCAATGGCGACTTCACTCCTCTGTCAAGTAGGGAGAGGGTCCATGACTGTCTTCATTTGCTCGTGCGTCTGATAAAGCTACATTTGTTGCTCCCTTTGAGGTTGATTTTTCTTTTCATTTTGCTGCACTTTTTACTTTTTTTGGTGGAACTGTATTCCCAAGACAAGGAAGTGTTGGGAGACTTCATTAAATGTAACAATTGTGAAGAGTGTGTAGGTTTTCTGTGTCGGTGGTGTTTGGCTGAACAATACGGTGGCGTGGGATGATGATGATGTGAATATTTAGAATGTACCATATTTTTTTGTAAATTATTTATGTTTTTTTTTAAAAACATACTTCTCGTACAGATGGATGAAACTTCTTTTGTTTTGACAAAGACTGTAAATATTTATTTATTTGTTCACATGGTCAGAATTTCACCACTGAAACCCTGCATTTAGCTAGAGCCTCATTTTTATACTTTAAAGACTCATAACAGGAAATAAATTGTAAAAAGGTTTTCTATAAATGAATCTCTCTCCCTTTTTTAAAGAGCTAGCAGGGCTCCTGCGGGGGGGAGGGGAGGGGCCCCGGCTGATGCCTTGTCTGCTGGGCCAGGACAGCCTCCTCCGTGACAGTGCTTCCTCGTGCGCTTCTCAGGCTGAGATGCCGTTTGGGGTCTTCACGGAAAGAAGCTGTTTAAGGCAGGTCTCATCATGGTTTGTGGAGCCGCCCGGGTCCCGCGCTATGACACGACCTTGGGAAATCCATCCTCCGGCTGCTTCTCGCTGTCCGACAGGGGACAGAGCAGTGCAGTGAGTGTCAGCACCACTGAGATGACTCAGAAAAAGGGGGCAACACGAGGGACCCCTCATCAATACAAGCGGTGCTTCCCATGACCCAGTCTCATTCCAAGCCGGAGCGAGAAGCAGCAGAAGGCTCGGTGGGACACGTGTCAGATCGTGACATCACGTGGACAGCAAACCAGCTGCTCAGTGATGGGAGAGAGCCACAGGGCGGCCTGGGGTGTCTCTGGCTGCCCCACTGCTCTTGGGACTTCTGAGCGTTACGGTGGCGTCAATTATAGGGGAAACGTGAGAGCGAGAGTTCTCAGGGGGGAGCAGGGAGACGGAGGGGGAAACAAGCGTGTTTGGCTGAGATAGGCTGGAAGGAGTCGGCCAGGGAAGCGACAAGATCTAGGGAAGGCCTCCCGAGGGGACGGGATGGAGCTGAAGGCCCTGGCCTTGATTGGGGTTGAGAACGGGGGGACGTGGGGACATGGAGCTGATGGAGGAAGAGACTAGACCTGCAGAAGTGACCCAAGAGGCCTTTGAGAAGTTTAGAAACAAGGAGATATAAGGAGAAGGGTGAGGGTTGGACTGTGGGTCACGGAGCCACTGGGAGACCCTAACGTGCACTTCGCTGGTGGAACAGCAAGTGTATCATGTGTTAGCAACGATGCTGAGAAGTCAGGACATTAAAATGCGATACAGTTTTCACACATTCAGATTTTGGGGAAGTTTATTGAAAATACAAGCTTCTGACAGACTCCCTGTCAGCGTCCTGGTAGTCCCAGAACTAATTTTTAGTGTCTTTGTGGCCTAACGGGGGACTATAGGTGACCCACGTGCGGGGCAGCTCTGTGGAGTGTCTTTTCCTTTTGTGTGAGGTTCTAACACACGCGGTAAAACTGTGCATAGTCATTGTTCCTGAAAAAAGAGACGAAAAGCCCCGCCCTGCCCCAGCTGTGCACCTTCAGGCTGCGCTCCATGAGCCATTATCTAGGGGAGCTGGGGGTGACTCTGAACGGGGGGATCCAGCCCGAGGTGCAGGGGTCCGAGGGGTCCAGAGGTCAGCTCGCCCTCCCACGGCACCGCAGCCAGGGAGTGTGGAGTCTGCAGCGGCTGAGGGTCCAGAGTGGAGGCAGTGCCCCTCCGCCACACCCGGCTGCCAGCCTCTCGCACTGCCCGGGGGTCGCTGTGGGTCTAAAAGTCTCAAGCAGGTTCTGCTCACTTAGTCTGAGCTTCACAAAGCGGCGTTTTGGCCACGGGAGAGGAGTGGTGCGTGGGCTTAGGGGACACATAGGAGCTGCCACCCAACAGCTCCATAGCCCCGGTCATTCAATCACGGATACCTGCATGGCTCTGCTAAGGACTAAAGGGTCCTCATCTGGACCCCACAGACCACGGCCCGGAATCCCGGGGCAAGAGGAGGGAACAGCGGGGCTGTCTGGGCCTGGCCAAGCCCGGATCCCCCGCTCCCAGGGGAGTGACTTGGCAGAGGGCAGGGGTCCAGAGGTGACAGAGACTCCTGGCTGGGCACTCAGGGACCTCAGCTTTGGGGAAGCTGCAGAATTCCTGCCAAGACATCTGGGCCTCGCCTCCACGTCTGAGCCTGGCTGAGCTCGCCCCACGCGGGTCCTTGCCGTCCAGGGTCCCCTGTGTGTGGCCGCCTGAGTGGTGGACATGGAGGAGGCCCTGAGTCCCATGGAGGCCATGCGGAGCCCCGGTCGCCAGGGCAGGGGGCCTGAGATTATAGGTTGGCC